GTTGGATGACACAGTTACCGAAACTAGTGATGTGCATTACACTAGATGTATGCAAAGCAATGCCCAAATGACCAAACTAACCCCAAACAGTCCCTATGCAGACCCAAAATAGTGGCAAAATGGACTAAAATGATGGCTTGCAATGCACAAAAATGAAGTTCATGCAATGGCCCAAAAATGAGGCAAACAATCACAGCTCTCAAACGCATTTAAAGAGTGGAAAACATGGGAATATGGCACAAGTATAAGCTCTGAAATAACATGTTCAATGATGCCAAAACATGAAAACAACTCAAGTTAAGCATGCAAGAGGCTTCAAAACTCGAAGCTAGGCAAGGGTATTACACTACAAGCATGCATGGCAAGCATCATTCGACCATGGGACCTCAAAATAAAGCTAAGGCAGCCCAAATCATGAATAGAATCAGTTTAGAACATGGCCAAAATATGCTAGAATCAAGGGCCGAAACAACATGCTATGTGAGCTAGTGAACATGGATTACACTACAAGCATATGAAGAATTCAAGAGGCCACTAAACCAGCAAAATTTAGAGACATGACATGCCAAATAAAGCCCAAAAACCCACTGAAACATGATCAATGCATGCAAGAATGACATTCTCCTTCAATAGACTATACGAGGGGTTATTCTACACATGCAAGAGGCACATCCAAGGTGACAAAACCAACTCTGGACAGAGCCTAGGCAGCCCCTAAAAGTCATTGAAAAGGGCCTGGAACAAGGCGTGGAGGTGTGCAAATGAAGGCTCCTTTGTAAGGCCAAAAATGCTAGTGAACAAGACAAGGAGGGAGAGGGTCACCCCTCTCTGATTTTGGCTCTCAAAAACACATTTTAACCACTGAAAATCCTCTGGATTTCAGTGGTTAAAAGGCCAAGCAAAGGTCAACACAAAGGCCAACACAAAGGCCTTAGGGCGTGGCTCAAAACAAGGCAAAATGAAGCATGCAAGGGGCTCAATGACCCCGAACAACAAAATGACCTTAAAAAAATATCAAAAGGACCTCAAAACAAGACTTTTTTCAGTTGACAACAAAGCTCAAATATGCATGCAAATAAGGCTAAGAGATAGATCAAAATAAAGCTTAAAAAAGGGAAAAAGTGTGTTATCCTTGAAGCACAGCAAGACAGCAACTTCTGGATCCAAAAACCAACTCCTTAACCTCTGAAAATGGCCTCCAAGAAGCTCCAAGCAATGGTGGAAGGGTTAGGCTATGAGGTGGTGTGCAAAGGTGCAAGAACCAAGCACTTTTTGAGCTTGGATGTAGAAATATAGAGGGAGAAGTCTTGTATGCCTTAGACAAATTTTTGAACCCTTACAAAGGAGGGGGAGGCCCTCCTTTATAGAGATACAAGGCCTTAGCTTCTCAAAGAAGCTAAAAACCAAGGCCAAAGATCCTCCATACACGTGTATAGAGGATGCAGTCTGTGCCTTCCAACTGGCACAGCTGGCAACAACTCACAGAGACAAGACTAGGGGAGACAGGCCGACCAGTTTAGATGGTCGGCTAGCCACTTTAGGTGGTTGGTCGACCAGTTCAAAAGGGTCAACTCAAAGAAAGGTGGTCGGGGCAGCCCATTTGGTGGTCTCCCCACTCAATGCAAGCTAGGTGGTGTGGTGGGAGACCAGTAATTGTGGCCCAAAAATGAGGGAGACCAGTTACCTGACAAGAAAATCGGCGGGCGGGGGAAAAGTGGTCTCCAAGGAGAAAAGGTGGTCTCCCACCCTTGCACCACCTTCCAAACAATGAAAACAAGGTCTATGCCAAAAATGAACCAAGACGGATGCAAAACGAGGGTTCGGGGGTCAAAACGCGCAGCCGGGTGCCTCGAAAACAGGCTGTTAAGCATCGAAAGTGGCGTGCGACCACAAAGGTGGTCTCCCGGGCCACAGTGTCCCTCTAGAGAGAGGAAACAAGGTGTGTGCCAAAAATCGTGCCAAACGGAGAAATTCAAGCGGTCCTGAATCGAGGCGCACGGCCGACGGCTTCGAAAATCGAAAACTGGTCTCCAAACGAAAAAAGTGGCCCACGACCATGAAAAGTAGCCTACGGCCACTGAGAGATGGTCTACAAGACCTCTCCCTCCCTCCGAGAAAAGAAAGCAAAACTTGGTCTGCAAACCGAGGCAAAGCACAAAAGGGTCCCGAGGTCTGGAGGTGAGACTCTCAGCCAAGAACTCCGAACCTCAAAATGAGCACAACATGCGTAATCACCGAGCGCTCAATCGGTGACGTCCGAGTCTTAAGGTCGGTCAAAAATGGGGTGCCTACATTCGTTCTATATCTTATATAATATATTCTTGCAATTCTATTGGTACATATTTATTATTTCTTATTTTTTTTCTCCTATGTATTATATAAAACAATTAATAAAATTAAAAACACACAGAATTTAATTAAATTTTTTGAAGGATATGATAATTCCTCCCAAATGATGGTTTGAGCTTGCATCATTTACTATGAAAAAGTTAGAGAGGATACCAATGTAATACAAGATCATATACTCTACCCCTTAATTATGTGTCATTAAAATTTGTTCTATTTTGTTTCTTAAATTTTTTAATTTATTTCAATTTTATCATTTCTATAACATCTATAAAAAAATGAAAGCTGCTTGAATTTAACACAAAACGCCAAAATAATGAATTTAACACGAAACGCCAAAATCATGTCCAATTGCCCAAAATTGCCTTTCATTTTTTAAGTTTAATTGTGTATGGTTGAAAAAAAATTGTAATCAAATTAAATTATTGAAATTATTCAACCAATTTGACCCAAATCATTTAAACACAATTTGGCTCGATTTGGAACTACGTTTTTACATAATTTGTTCCTAAAAAAAATCATATAACATTATCAAAAAAATTTAACTTATCATAAATTTCTGAAACCCTAATTTCTAGAGCCATAACCCTCATTTCTTATTTCACAATTCAAAACTCTAACCCTAATTCAAAAATGATTTCACATTCATCAATTCAAAATCCTAATTCAAAACCAAAACTTTCATTTCTGATTTCACATTCAATAGAAAATCATAACCCTCATTTTATCATTTGAAACATAATTTTTAAATTTTTTTTAAACAGATTTCACAATTATAAACAGATTTCACAATTCAAAACCCTAATTTCTGAAACCCTAATCGTAATTTCTAATTTCATAATTATAAACGCTAACCCTAATTTATCATTTCTGATTTCACAATATTTTCACATTCATGAACCCTATTATACCCACATTCACATTTTCACAAACACAATAAATGCATAAAAGTAGATCAACAAAGAGAGACAGAAGCCATACCAACGAGAGAGAGCAACCCACGGACGGAGATAGAGCACATAGAGAGACTGAGAGCAGAGAGAGAGTGCGAGAGTAGAGAGACAGTCTCAGAGCAGAGGGAGCTCGAGCAGAGCAAGAGAGAGAGAGAGAGCAGTAAGAGCGAGAGTGAGAGCAGTGAGCGAGAAGTGTAACAAGCGTGATTGCAAATGACGGGGCTGGGGAGATTTTATATAAGTTTTAAAAGCGTGATTACAAACCACGCTTTCACTTAAAGAGAAAAAGTTTTGCTTAAAAGCGTGGTTCACAACCACGTTTTCAGAAGAAAGTTAAAAGCGTGGTTCACAACCACGTTTTCAGAAGGTATTTTTTTTGGGTAAAAAGCGTGATTCACAACAATGCTTTCATAAAAAAAAAAAATTTAATTAAAAGTGTGGTTTGTAACTACGCTTTCTTAATTAAAAGCGTGGTTTGGAAACAGGCTTTTACGATTTTATCATTTTTCCATGCAACAGCCACACAAACGTTGAAAGCGTCGTTGTGAACCACGGTTTAGCCTAATTTGAGAATTCCGTCTAAACTATGCCTAATTTGAGAATTAAGTTGATAATTTGACTTATTTAGGGAAAAACCCCCATTATCCTGATTGTTGCATTTTATGCTTTTCTGTCAAATAAAAAATGACTAGGTACAACCCTAAACAGCAAAGCAGCGCCAGTTCGGGTTTATAACTAGGGATGCAACTTGGGCAGACTCAACCCGAGCAACTCGAGCCCAGCCCAAATTTTTTTAGAACTTGGACAAAATATTTTCAAATTCGATACGGATTTGGGCAAAAATTCAAAAGCCCGAATTAAATTTGGGCTAGCCTAATTTGAGAATTCCGTCTAAACTATGCCTAATTTGAGAATTAAGTTGATAATTTGACTTATTTAGGGAAAAACCCCCATTATCCTGATTGTTGCATTTTATGCTTTTCTGTCAAATAAAAAATGACTAGGTACAACAACCCTAAACAGTAAAGCAGCGCCAGTTCGGGTTTATAACTAGGGATGCAACTTGGGCAGACTCAACCCGAGCAACCCGAGCCCAGCCCAAATTTTTTTAGGGCTTGGACAAAATATTTTCAAATTCGGTACGGATTTGGGCAAAAATTCAAAAGCCCGAATTAAATTTGGGCGGACTTGGACAAAGACGTCAAACAACCCGAGCAACCCGAAGCGCGAATTATATATATATATAGATAAATAAAAATATTAAATATACATATAAATTATTAGCCATTACATGATATTAAAGTAATTTATATTGTTAAATCATATTAAATATATATTATATATACAAATAACATAAAATCTTACTTTTTTTTATTTTTTTATTTTCATTCATAAATTGTAAGGACTACTATAGTGGTATCTCTCATACATTATATAAATTATTTATTTTAATGGTATTAATAATTTTCTATAAATAAATAAAAATTGTAAATAGAATCAAATTTTAATAATTTAATAATATAACTAAAAAAAAACTAAAATTCATTTACAACTCGAACAACTCGAAACCTTCTAACCCGACTAACCCGACTGAACCTGCCTGCCTTGCACCCTATTTATAAGCAGTTAGGGTTTAAGAAGCAGACGAAGAGGAAGAAGAGTTTAATCCACAAGGACGATTCAGGTTAGGCATCTTCGTACGTGCATATATTTTCTTGGATTGATTTGATGAAAAATAGTTCGTGAATTTTCCGAGAAAATATATCGTCTTCTCATTCTCATTCACTTGTTGATTTCCTGGATGAATATCGCATATTGAAGCTTATAACAGAAGATTTTCGATGTCTGTTCAACCAGGTTCGGAAAAAGATTTATTTTTCTATAAATCTGAGGCTAATTGTTGCTTCGAAGACGTCATGGAGGAAACAGATAACTCTGAGAGACTAAACAAGTAAGCTCAATTGCGCGCACACACACACATATCTATATCTGTTTTCTGTGCTTTCAAATATTTTGTATACCCTCAGTTTGATAGCTTAAAGTTAGAGCTAGGCATATGAATTTGTGAGGCTCAAGTTTTCGGCTTGTATTGTTATGGGATGAAGCCTAATGATGTTGTTCTAATTTGGGTTGTTTCAGAGAAGCTCCTCGGTTATGTGCGGTATTGAAAGAAATGAAGGAAGGATTAGATATGTTGAGGAGTAAAGTGCAAGCTTTAACTGCAAAGGTTGGAAACACTCTTTTTAAGTTAATTTTTTTGAAGGCATTTTATAGTTCCTGTTCTTAAATGCATAAGCTAATTGAATTTTAAAAGGAAAAAAATAACAGAAAAACGGCAAGTTCATGATTTTCAATTGTCCGTTGGAAATAATTTGTTTAGAGGCAAGAAAATCTGGAAAATAAAAAGAAAAAGCTTAGAGGCATTGAATATAACATTAGTGCTTTTCGAATGCGTGTGCTTGTGTAGGCATGTGTCTATATGTGTGTGCAATAGCATATAACACTTTTATCATTTACACAAGTTGTGTTGAAGGTATTGTTTGGGGAGGATTAAGAAGAAGAAGCTTCTGAGAACTGGCAAAATGTTGTTGCTTTGAGAATAATGAGATATTGCTTTGTAACTACTCCTGATTTGATCATCATCAAGACACCATCACTAGCATTACCACTGTCGTTAACAATGCATTGTTGCAAACTTTTCACAGCTGTAAATATCACAAAATTTGGTAAACCATTTGTGTAATTTGTGTTGTTTACTTAATATTAGTAGTTTTGTCTATTAGGTGAGAGAAGATCATTTTCCAACTGCAGATGGGATAAGTTACCTTGAGGCCAAACATTTGCTGCTTTTAAACTATTGCCAGTCACTTGTCTATTATTTGCTTCGCAAGGCAAAAGGTTTATCAATTGAGGGACATCCTGTTGTTCGGAGCCTCGTGGAGATAAGATTATTTTTGGAGAAGGTGTTGATCTGTTTATTTTTCATCTTATTAATCTTCATACTTGATTAATGATTTCACAAAACTCATAATCATTTTGCTTCATCCAGGTTCGCCCAATTGACAAAAAGCTACAATACCAAATTCAGAAGCTCACAAAGGTTACAGCTGGTGTAGTGGATAAAGTAGGTTCAAGTGAGAAGGAAGAAGATACAACTCAGAAGACAGACGATCTGTTGAAATATCGCCCAAACCCAGACATGCTTGTTAGCAAAATAAATACAAGTCATGAGGTGAGTAGAAGGTATTTAAGAAGCACTTTATATTTAAGGATGATGGAGATAAAGGCCTGAAGAGGTTGGGACGAGTATTTAATTTACACATCGAAGTTGACATCCTTGTTCATTTTCTGCAATGTTTCCTTAAAATAAATCATTAATTAAAGAACAATTTGAAAATTTTGTTTTGTTAAGTCCATCTCCTTGAATTATAGGATGGTGGTGGTGTGTATCGACCCCCGAAATTCGCCCCTACTTCTATGGAGGAAGATAAGGTTTCAAAACAGGAAAGAAATGCAATGAGGAAGGATAAAGCAGTTTTGCGAGAAGCTAGGCAAAGTGCATATGTGAGAGAACTGATGGACGACCTCGAGGGAAGACCTGAAGAGGTGAGTTGTGGATTGCCATTAATTGTGTTGCTAATTTTGGATGACTGCAAGATTGTTATGTTAGTTTTTAAATGACTATGATTGAAACACAGGTGAGAGAAATTGTTGGAACTGAAAGTAGAGAAGTATTAATATAGGGCCAAGATGAGAGCGTGCAAGGCGATAAGAGGAGCTTTTTACTCGTGCCCCTCTGACAAAGGTGGAGAAAAATAAAATGAAACACTTGAAGAAGTCAAGAAATGGGTTAGTGCAATAAAATATCAACCCTTATATAATGTTCTCCTTAACTTTTGGTGGTCTGTAAAATTTATTAAGCTGATAATCTGGCCTGATGGTGCATCATTTGTTTGTACCAGGTTGCTTGGTCTGACGGACAGTTTTTATGATGAAATTAAAAGTTTACCCTTGGAGGACAATGTTGGTGAGCAAATGACAGGCTTTGGCAATGACAATAGTGGAGAAAGAAGACCAATGAAACGGAAGGTAATTGAATTTTTTAAATTATTATGGTATCTATTTCATGTTTATTAAACATATTTCGTGCCTGATAAATTCTCTCCTTAGAATCGTTATACATTACCTTGACTAATATTTTTCTTATGCATTATTTTTTTAGTATTGTTTACAACTTTGAAGTGGGCAACACTTGATTACAGAGCTTCATAAATTGATCTAACAGGACCATGTGCACACTTTATCTATGATTTAAATTCCCAGGACTAAAACTGGGTGGATTTGGTTGGCTTATGAGTCTGATCAAGCCCACCCCGAGATCTACTTAAGAAAAATTTCAAGCTGTTTTGTTTTATATAGAGCATACTTCTAATTCGGCCATGTGAATTGCTTGCACACACTTAAGAAAATTTTCAAGCTGTTTCATTCTCTGTATGTACCATGCTTACAATTTATGTATATTTGAGTGGTTTCGACTAGTAAGAGTGGGTTTTGGCATAGCAGTAAGGTTGCTCTATTGTGACTTGCACGTCATGGGTTAAAAACAAAGAAACAATATATCTCTACACGCGGGGTAAGACTGTTTCTTGGCTCCCACAGTGGGACTTGTCATAAATGTATATGTTAATGTCTGCACTTCTGTATATACTCTAATTTATTTATCTTCAGTTTCATTTTGAGCTTTTACATGGCAAAGACATTTAGAGAATTTATGCTTCATGCTTTGGATAATTTTGCTGGTTTACAGAGGAGGAAGCATTAGGGACAAAAAGCTCAAATCATTTGGTTTGCATAGCAGTTGGATGCACTGGAGTAGTCTGGTAGGGAATTGAGAGCTTGTATTGGCATCTAAAATTTAGGTTTCTTACAACAGTTGTATGATGTATCGTATAATCTTATTTATCCGGCTTTCCTTTTGGAGTTCATCTGTCAGACAAACTGCATTGGAACTTAAAGGAGTTGCTGCTAGTCTGATACATTTGTTTTTGGATAAGTGCTAGTCTGATACATTTGCCTTCTAGTATAATAGTGGCATTCATCAGAATTCTACGAGTGCACAATTTCCAGATGCGAGATTTTTATGTGCTTTTAATTGTTTGGGTCAGTTACAATGGTGTTTCACACAGGTTATTGGTTTTTTATTTTTACTCAATACTGCCTGTGCTTTAGTCAATATGGTTTTTCCATTTTTTAGTACTGGAGATACTGGATTTTTTTTTTTTTTTGTTGATCTGAACTACCTTAGTCTTGTATTCAAGGTTTAGGAGTCTAAAGTAGCAATCTACCCTTCAAGTTCTTCAATTAGCAAGCAAAACTCAAGATGGAAGACAAGTTCTCTCACTCTCTCCCTCTCTTGGTCGGCTAGAGCAAGAAAAGGCTGAGGAAAATGTGTTATGTGGTCAAATGTAAGGCTCAAATATGTTATATTGAGTGGGCCACTAAGGGTGGCAATTCTGTAATTAAGCCTAACTCTTTAATTAGCTTATTTAATCTAATTCAAGCATACCTAATCAGTTTTCAGATAAAAATACCATAAAATCACATTAATTATGAGGATCATAAAACATTAATCCATTCCCAGTTCGGCCGCCGATAAGACCTTCAATTAGCAGTTTAAACACTAAAATACGAACAGATCAAATAATTAATCGAACAGATAGAATGCAATTCAAACAGATGTAGTCATTCAATTCAGTTTCAATTTTGGTCAGGCAGTTCAGTACTTTTAATCAGTCCAATTATCAGTCATAATCAATTCAGTCTAACGGTAATCGATGTTTATCGTAATTAATCAGTCATTAATCGGCAAACAGTATGAGGGTTGTTACATTCACATGAATACTTATTTGCTGATTTTCAGAAGACAAATCCTCCATCACAAATAAGTAATGAAGAATGAGGAAGGAAGAATGAGGAAGACAGCTTGTGGAAGGAGTGTGGAGCTTGTGCAAGGAGTGTACACTAATGAAGAATGGAGTAACTTTGGAGCTCTGGTATGGAGTAACGTGTGTGTGTGTGGATCATTTAGCAAAATGAGGAAGCAGAGGCATTGCAACGTCTGTGTGTGTATTGAGAGGATGTGTGTTTATTTGAATTGTGTGAGATGTCTATAATGGTAATTTTATTTAGGGATAAAATTGTAATAAAAATAAAATCCATTAAGTGTGTGCAAAGAGTGGAATTGGTGTGTGCAAATAGAGGCTCCCTTGGGTCATCTATACCTTGAGCTATATTTGGATCCTTTCTTTTTTCTATTCTCTCCACAAATCCAATATCCAAACAAAGGTATAAAATATTGTTGATAGTTACAAACCAAATCCAGATACAATTTTATTTTAAAATTTACGACAATCCATTTGTGTGTGTGTGTGGGTGGGTACATTGGAGGGGGAAGGGGAGTTCAAACCTGTAGCCTTCTAGTAAAGTAGACGGGTTCGACTAATGTAAACCCCTAACAATGAGTTGGAAGGATTTATCGTACACAAATGTATTCATTCAAGAGAACACAATGAATTCAGTATTTACAACAGAAGAATATGAAATGCCATAGTAATTGTTAGTCAATTTCAGAGTCTTGCTTGAGAGGCAGAGGTATGTTGTAAAGAATGAGACCAACCACAAGAATCATACTGCCAATGAGGAAGAAGGGACTCAAGCTTACACCTTCAGGAAGGTAGGGCAAAGGAAGGGATGGGGAAAACTGAAAACTCATTGATTCAATATTGTAACTAGATCAGTATTTTAGCAGTTAATTGTGTAAGGGATGGGGAAAAGATAGCAATGTGCTGCTGCATATGAAATCAGAATTTCTCAAGTTTTACTAGCAGTGGAAAGGGTATTTCCCATTTCTTCCCCAAGAACCCACTTTATACAACAAGAAGACAATTAGTTGACAGAAATGAACCCTACTGCTTTAGGGAACAAAAATGTTACCAAGACACGCTTCCTTTTCCCCCCAAAAGTTGCGAAACTAACACGTGTATTAAGTCAGAAAGTCAATGAAAATTTCCCACATTTCAGGCATTTCATAAAAATACAGAAGCAAATAGCAAGACATAATTTGGTTATCTATGTGCATCTGCATGTGTTATGTGTGTATACATGTAATGGAACTCAAACCAAGATATAATTGGCCATCTGTCCACATATATGAATGTATGTAACTATTACAAAGGCAACAGAAATTACCTAGAGCATGGGCTCCAATATTGAAAAAGCAACCGGCTCCACTCTTTATGTACGTAGGCAGTAGGGAAAATGGTATGCCTTTCGAGCTTGACAGGAAAGGCAGAAAGAGAAACACAAACAGAGCCTAGAAATCAAAGGAAATATTATAATTCAATGCTGAAAAATATTGAAAAATATCATATTCTATATGAGATTTGAGATTCCTTAGCGTGCCAAAAATTGTTTTAATAAAGCTGTGATATGCTGGGAAGAATGCACAGCCAACAAAATTGATTAATACGTATATAAAACAAGATATCCTGGCAAGCCATATGAAAATTACCTGGAATCCAGATCCAAATGAATTTACAACAAATATGTCAAGCAACTTTCCCTGCACAGGGTGTCAAATTTTTGAGAATTTTTAAAAAAATGGCGTCATTGACTGGAAAAATTCTGGACATACCTTGAGGCGGTTTGCAGCATCAATGAAGACAGATTCCTATTCAAAAGCATGACAATTAAAGGTTAATTATTTTCCTCATAAGGAGTACTTCTAATATGGCACAACAACCATGCAGTGTATAACCTTGAGAATAGATGCACCAGCTTGAAAAGCACTTGAAACAATCATTAACACTGGCCACACAAATCCAATTCCCGATAGCATTTGGCCGGTGTCTGATCCACTGGAGTAATAAAGCACAGAAGGAACTATAAGGGATGTTATCTATAGCAAGATGAAAGGATAAGTAGACGAAACACAGAAATATGGTGCATAAAAATACTAATTATTTACACTCAAAAATTCAATTTTGGAGACAAGGCCAACCATGCTTCTCAAACCATTGGAAAAGATTGAAATACCTTGCAACTGCTACAACTACTCCACCAGCAACGAGTAAGCAGCCAGCAATCCTATTCCACGGGTACTTTCTCCCCAGGAGAAGGACAGAAAAGGCCAACTGCCACACCAAAAATGTCTGCAACGAAAACCCACAGGAAGAAGCAATTAAGAAGATAAACATTGCCCATACTATTTGAGGCCCCTATTTGACTTATATCAAAACTCTACCAAGTGCACAATAAATTTTACCAATGTCAAGACCACAATACAAGCATAGAGATATCCATTTCCCCAATTCTTTTAATTGGAAAATATGTTCCTCAGCAAGTTTTGATAGATGCGTGTATCAATAGATATTTGAAGTCAGGCAGAAAATCAACAATGGCTTCCCATTTCTAGATAGCAGTTCCAAATTAAGAAGGCAAGTTTTGCCAGACTGCACCAAGCAAGGACACATCCACGCACAAGTGCATTACAAATCATGTAAATACGCCACAGTAGAGCAGTCTTATGGAGGGTTAGTTTCAACTGCTATTTGCTGCAACTGTCACTAAGATCTATGAATATTATATCTAAGATGGGCCATCCTCTAATAAAAATAGGTAGCAAAAGCAATGCAAAGCATTGATATGAAGGTTTGTCATGCCACAATGAAAAAGGTAGTCCGAGAATGATAGTTTATAGATTGGATGCTGATCAACAGGGTTAAACAATTTAGTCAAAGCAGATAAGTGTGGAACTTTGCCAACTCTATGTGAGAGAGGTCCATACTCAGTAAGAGGCCAAAAAAAAAACAAAAAAATTCGTACTCTCCTCTCTCCAATCCCTGTGCAGTAGGTGCCACTGTTACCAGGATCGTTGCATGTCCCAAATGCACCCATGTTGTGTGAGTATCAGGTTCGTATAAGATCCTTGATCCAGTTTTCATGTTTAGATTCTTATTTTTCTTGATCCTCAACAAGCCTCATCCCAATAACTTGGGATGGGACCAGCCAAAGATCTCCTTTTTCAGAATTACACTCTATCTATTGCTTGAACCATAGACTCTAACTTTCATGACAATCTTGAGCCATGTCCTCAATGGCCTCCCTTCACCAAAACCATCCCCAGCGTCCACCATTGGTGCAGTCATCATTCTTTATTAGCAACCTAGAGTTATTTTTGGCAGTAGTCAAATAGTAAATTCAGAGAGCCATAAGTATAAGTAATGCCATTACTCAAATTATATCAGTCCTTACCATTCCATGAATCCTAAGCGAGGATTCAACAGATCCTGGTCTTAGGCATGTAACTGCACCCAAACCCATGTAATATAGGTAGTCAAGAAACCACTCTAGAGTTGTAAAGACATTCCATAAAGAAAGTTCTGAGATGTTCACCACAAGACAATTCAAAAAGAACTCAATCATGAAATCACATCATTCTTGTATTTATTATCACTTGAAAAGTGCATACTAGAATTTTACACTAATCTGTGCACTAGCTATGTCTTTGGGGAACTCTGCATCAGACACAAAGGAAGATGTTGCTATTGAAAATAGTCAACATATTGAAGAAGAGATAATTCAACCCCCTCCTGTGGAAGACTTGTTATCAATATGTACAAAGCTTTTACAAATGAAAGAATCTATTGCTTTTCCACTTCGGGACCTTCTGGTTATGTTATGCTCTCAAAATGATGGTCAATACCGGTCAAATGTTATCATGTATATTATAGAGGAGGTGAAGCTTTGTAATTCCGACAGTGGAAATGGTAACATGCTACATGCCCTTTTTCATGTTCTAGCTTTAATTTTTCATGAAGATGCAGTGGCACGAGAAGTTGCCTTGAAGGCTGGTGTGGTGAAGGTTGCCACAGATCTACTGTCACATTGGGTTTCTAGTTCATGTGACATGGAGAATTCCCAAATTCCGAAGTGGGTAACAGCAGCTTTTCTGGCTATTGATAGGCTGTCACAAGTGGATCAAAGGTTGAATGCTGATATTGCAGAGCTGTTGAAGAAGGATGATGTTGGTGGCCATCAGACATCTATAGTAATTGATGAAGATAAGAAGAACAAGTTGCAGTTATCATTGGGATTACCTTCAAAGAATATAAGTATACAGGAACAGAAGAGACTGATTGAGATTGCCTGTGGTTGTATCAGGAACAAGCTCCCTTCTGAAACAATGCATGCTGTTTTCCAGCTATGTTCTACTCTCACCAGAACTCATTCTGTAGCTATTAGTTTTCTTGATGCTGGGGGTTTGCCTTTGCAGCTTTCCTTGCCGACAAGTAGCCTGTTTGTTGGGTTTGACAGTATTGCTGCTACTATAATCCGTCATATCCTAGAAGATCCTCAGACTCTCCAGCAAGCAATGGAATCTGAGATACGGCACAGTGTTGTGGCTGCTGCTAACTGACAATCCAATGGAAGACTTATCGCCCGTAATTTTCTTTCAAATTTGACTTCTGTCATCTCACGGGATCCAGTGATATTTATGCAGGCTGCTCAGTCTGTATGCCAAGTTGAAATGGTAGGTGAAAGGCCGTGCATTGTCCTACTGAAGGATCGTGGCAAGGATAAATGCAAAGAGAAAGAAAAAGAGAAGGAGAAAGCAGTGGAGAACGACAAAACACAGACTACTGGGAAGGCTGCTTTGGGTAATATCAACTCATCAGGTCCTGGAAATGGGCAAGGCAAACTTCCTGATACAAATTTGAAGAATGTGAAAGTTCATCGAAAACCCCCTCAGAGTTTTGTAAATGTGATTGAGCTTCTATTGGATTCAGTTATAACATTCGTGCCTCCTTTGAAAGATCACTCGTCGATGAAGGATACCTCATTAACGGACATGGACATTGATACGACTGGGAACAAGGGGAAAGGGAAGGCTGTTGTTTCTTTATCTGAGGAAGATGAGGTCAACCCCAATAACCAGGAAGTTCTTCATCATTGGCAAAGATTGTGTTCATTCTGAAGCTTTTGACAGAGGTTCTCTTGATGTATTCTTCATCTATTCGTGTTCTGCTTCATCGAGATGCTGAAGTTAGTAGTTTCAGGGGCCCTGCTCAACATGCTCTTACTGGTCACTGCACTGGTGGAATATTCCATCATATTCTTCACAAGTTTCTTCCCTATTCCAGAAGTTTGAAGAAGGAAAAGAAAACAGATATTGACTGGAAGCACAAACTAGCAAGCAGGGGTAGCCAGTTTTTGGTGGCGTCCTGTGTCCGCTCCACAGAAGCAAGGAAGAGAATTTTTATGGAGGTCAATAATGTCTTTAATGAGTTTGTTGATTCTTGTACCGGTTTTAGGCCTCCAGGAAGTGATATCCCAGCTTTAATTGATCTGATCAACGATGTAGTTGCTGCTCGTACACCCACAGGTTCATACATTTCGGCTGAAGCTTCTGCTACTTGTATAGATGTTGGTCTGGTGAGGTCATTAACTCGTACTCTCCAAGTGTTAGACCTGGATCATCCTGAATCTCCGAAAGTTGTTACAGGACTTGTCAAAGTTCTTGAGATAGTAACCAAACATCCATGCAGCTGATTGTAAAACTGGCAAGGCTGAAAATGCAACAAAACCTCCTGATCAGAGTCAACTTGGTGGAACAGATAATGGTGGCAATATATCCGAGTCTATGGAAACTTCTCAACAGAATCAGAGTTCTGCAGCAGCTGACCACATTGAGTCTTTTGACACTGTCCAGAACTACGGTGGATCTGAGGCTGTTACTGATGATGTGGAACATGACCAAGATCTTGATGGAGGCTTTGATCCTGCAAATGAAGATGACTACATGCATGAAACTCCCGAGGACACCAGGGGTGTTGAAAATAGCCTTGATACTGTGGGGTTAGATTTGAAATCCAGTCACGTGACCAAGAGAATCTTGACGATGATGACGATGATGATGAGATGTCAGGGGATGATGGAGATGAAGAGGATGATGAGGAACATAATGATCTTGAAGAAGATGAAGTGCATCACCTGCCACATCCTGACACAGATCAAGATGACCATGAGCTTGATGAGGATGAATTTGATGAGGAGGTGATGGAGGCAGAGGATGAAGATGATGATGATGATGAAGAGGAAGGAGTTATACTTAGGCTGGAGGAGGGAATCAATGGGATAAATGTTTTAGATCATATTGAGGTTTTTGGTAGAGATTATAGTTTTGCCAATGATACTCTCCACGTGATGCCCGTTGAAGTTTTTGGCTCTAGACGCCAAGGGCGTACTACATCCATTTACAATCTATTGGGGAGAACTGGTGACAATACCGCTCCGTCGCAGCATCCACTCTTGGTGGAGCCTTCTTCATCACTACAGACAGCTCCTCTCAGGCAATCAGGTAACTCTACCCGGTGGTTGGTAAATTCCCTTATTTTTTTTTTTTATGTATTTGAAGTTTTCATTCTGTAACTTCTGATTTGACTCAGTGTTTTTTTGGTTGTATATAATCTGTTCTTATGATCCTGAAAGACCTTGTTGTGCAGATTCTAACATCCAAACCTTTTGCTCTACATTTTGTATTTTGTTTTCTTCAGAGCGTGATGTCGGCCATTCTGATAGGAACTCAGAGAACAACTCATCACGTCTGGATGTTATTTTCCGGTCACTGAGGAATGGTCGTCAGGGACACCGTTTCAACCTGTGGACAGATGATACCCAGCAAACTGGTGGATCAAATGCATCTGCAGTTCCCCAAGGGCTTGAAGATCTGCTTGTTTACCATTTGAGACGGCCAGTCCCAGAGAAACCGTCTGATCAGAATACGATACCCTTGGAAACTCAAAGTAAAGGTGAGGTGAGTCCATTACAAGAATCTGCAGGGATAACCTCTGAAAATCCTGCCGAGAATAATGGCAACAGTGAAAACAATTATGTGCCTCTGCCTTCTTCTATAGTAATGGATAGTTCGGGCAATGCTGACACAAGGCCTACAATAAATGAATCTCTGCAGGGAACAGATTTAGCAAGTACACTCTCTCAATCTGTTGAAATGCAGTTTGAACACAATGATGCTGTTGTGCATGATGTTGAGGCAGTGAGCCAAGAAAGTAATGGAAGTGGAGCAACATTCGGGGAGAGCCTTCGGAGTCTGGATGTTGAAATTGGAAGTGCTGATGGCCACGATGATGGTGGAGAAAGGCAAGGTTCTGCTGATACTCGAACCAGGAGAACAAATCTGTCTTTTGCGAATTCTACTCCAGTAAGTGGGAGAGATGCATCACTTCATAGCGTAACAGAAGTTTCAGAAGATCCTAGCCAAGAACCCGATCAGGGTGGTCAATTAGAGGAGCAGCAGGTGAATGGTGATGCTGATTCTGCTTCAATTGACCCTACGTTCCTTGATGCACTCCCTGAGGAGCTGCATGCTGAAGTTCTTTCTGCTCAACAGGGTCAAGTGGCGCAGCCTTCAAATGCTGAACCTCAAAATTCTGGGGAGATAGATCCAGAATTTCTTGCAGCCCTTCCGCCTGACATTCGTGAAGAAGTCCTTGCGCAACAAGAAGCACAAAGATTACATCAATCACAGGAACTGGAAGGTCAACCTGTAGAAATGGACACTGTCTCAATAATTGCGACTTTTCCTTCAGAATTACGGGAAGAGGTTTGTTGACTATTGAAGAGTTATTCTCATCTTTCTTAATATCTGGCTTTTTACTTGATATTTGCCTTTTTGTAGGTTCTCTTGACATCCTCTCATGATATCCTTGCCAATCTCACACCAGCTCTTGTTGCGGAGGCGTCTATGTTGCGTGAAAGATTTGCAAATCGTTATAATTGAACACTCTTTGGAATGTACCCTAGAAACCGTAGGGGTGAATCTTCTCGACGAGGTGAAGGTATTGGATCTAGTCTGGATAGAGCTGGTGGAATCATTGCTCGTAGGTCTATGGGAAGTAAGCCAGTTGAAGCTGAAGGAGCTCCTCTAGTTGACACAGAAGCTCTGAGAGCCATGGTTCGGCTGTTTCGTGTTGTTCAGGTATTCATTTGGTATGATATATTCTTCCTCACATATATCGTTTGTGATCTTTATATTGATTGACATTATCTATGCAGCCACTTTATAAAGGCCAGCTGCAGAGGCTTCTCTTGAATCTATGTGTGCATAATGAAACCATTACTGCTCTGGTGAAAATCTTGATTGACATGTTGATGCTTGATATAAGGAGGCCTGTCATTGTCAATCATTTGAGTGCTTCTGAGCCATCTTATAGGCTGTATGCTTGCCAGAGTAATGTAATGTATTCTCGGCCTCAATCTTTTGATGGTAATACCTCGATGCTTTTCTCTTATCCATTGTTGGTCAATTGCATTTTGTCCTTTCATTTGTCAAATCTGGGTTGAAGTATGAACCCAGGTTTGTATTATTACATCTAAAAACTTTGCCAAAAACCCATGCCCGTGCTTGGTCTTCATGAAGTACTTTAACAAAGGTTGGTTTGAGTATTATTAACGCTTA